TCTTATGAACGTGGACTTGGCGCGATTTTTTTACAGTGAAACTGTTTTTGTTCGGATTAACATTACTGAGAAACTTTGAAGCTTATCTCGCTTTAAATTTTATCATTTTATGGACTCCGAACGATTCGAATTATTAAAGTGCGTAAAAAAAACATTTATGAATGAAAAACCGACTTATCATTAATGAATTCCATTGCATTTATAAACAGTTTCTCAATCCTACTTTCAATCTAAATTATTACTTATTGACATAATTTTTTTTTACTACTATTACTATCATTAGCGTAAAACCCAATAATATTTTTTCTTACTTTAATATCAAACATTATATAAAAGTAGTTCCGATGAAACATCTTTATCTACTAACATTGCTATCAATACACAGCACTTCAAGTATGTCGTAGATTTAGGTTGTTATTGAAAGTAATAAAAAAATAATTATCGACTAGCACTACGATCAATTTTGGTACTCAAAAGTTATTATAAAAAATTTACACTTATATCTTCTTCACATTAAAAGGTTTTATAAGAAAAAAATTTTAACCATACCTTCAAAGATATATAGGTAATTAATTATCATAAGTAACTTACAGTAGCACTGTCAAAACTAGACTAGCGATAAAATAAAAATCAACTAGTTTATATTAATTTGTTAATATCGATGTAGCAATATTGACGATTAGACAGCTGTTTCTTTCAAAGACATACGTTCTTATTTATGCAAATACAATTATTAGTAAGCCGATAACGGGGTGATAATAAATAATCATCGTTGTTAAGAAATATTACGCATGCTTAGTTTAGTATATTTGTATATTTCAGCAAAACAGTAATAAAACTAAAAGTTCTCCTAGAACATTGATAAGTCTACTATTTAAGTGCATTTATGCAGATAGGTTGTAAAAATATTCGAAACTGTCAAGTTCAATGTTAAGCGTAATTGAATGACGTTAAGTTAATTGATGGGGAAATAAATTTAAAGACAATAACTAGAATATTTATGTATCTTCTCTCTGTGAATTATTGCTTGAATTTTAATATTGTAAAAAAAATTTTCACGGCTTGTAAAAGATTTTTAAAAAGTGATTTTTTGTTGAAAGATTATTTTACCTTGATGGGAATGTATTTTGAACTCATTTTTTACACATTGAATGTTTTTTTTTTAATTAAACGTGTTATAGTTTATCGAAATGATTAATTGTTATTTTTTTTTCAAGGTCTATGTTAATGTGTGAGGTCAAATGAGTTCGGAATTCGAGGCTCGGAAATTACGTAGTTTTTTATTTACATATGAGTCACTTTCGAAATTATGGTTTTAATATACAGTTTATACTCCATGAAACGTCACTCGATTTAACGACGAACTCCCTAAAACGTCGAAATCACTTGCACAGAAAAAAAATGTTCTTGAATCAAGTATATAATTTTGAAGAACTTGATTTGAGTAGAAATATTCTTGAACTAATAAATTTTTCTTCTTTTAAGGAAATTTTACTTGATTCAAGAATTTTTTGTCTTGATTCAAGATAATTACCCTCTTAAAAATTATTTTCTTGGTTTTAGAATTTTTCTCTCGAATTAAGTTAATTTTTTTTTCAGTGTGGCTTTGGTTGGTTTAGCTTGTCTTCCATACAATGATACACTATATCGTCCTCTTACTGTGTTAACCTCGTAACTACATTTTTTTCGAAATTGAGACTTTTAGCGAAAATCAATTCTTAGCACTCTAGTAACGTAAAACAAAACATGCAATGTTCATAATGATGATAGAATTTTTTTCAGAGGCCTCTAAGCCGGTTTATGATTTTTCTCGTATACGAGAAATATCTACATGTTCGAATTCAAAAACCTCGTATCTACCGTGAGTATCGCCGAAAACGTTAAGATTGCATTCTTGTCTTAATACTGAATGTTTGTAAAACATGTAACCATGCCCGGGGAAAACGGTTTAGATCTGATCAGATATAATTATATCTGGTCAGATCTAATTATATCTGGTCAGATCTATTTATATCTGATCAGACATGGGATTGGAGACATAATCAGATCTAGTTATATCTGATCAGATCTAAACAGATATAACTATATCTGAGTTGAAAAATTCATCAGACATGATCAGATCTAGTCATATCTGATCAGATATAAACAGATATAACTATATCTGAGTTGAAAAATACATCAGACATGAACAGATATAGTCATATCTGATCAGATCTAAACAGATATAACTATATCTGAGTGGAAAAATACATCAGACATGATCATATCTAGTCATATCTGATCAGGTCTAAATAGATATAACTATATCTGGGTTGAAAAAAAAATCAGACATAAAAAGATTTTATTATATCTGGCCAGATATAACTATATTTGTTAACTATTAATAAATACTTATAAACTATTTTACTAAAAATACTTTCCTCCCAAATAAATATTTATTGAATGTTAAAAAATATTTATTAGAATTTAATAAATTAAATAATTGTTTTCGAATAAATTAATTTGTTAATAGTTAATAAATCTTCCCATCAGCGTATATTGATAATTAATAATTTGCAATAAATTTGATTCACATTACTTGTACCCGGGAAAAACAGATTAGATCTGGCCATATATAAACAGATCTGGCCAGATCTGCTAAGGCTATTAACTATAGTTATTACAAACTCTACCTACTCTCGTTTCAAGTAAGTCTCGTTGGTAAACAGGTAATGAATTAGTCTCTCAAGCGTCAGGTGCCAGGTTCGGTTCCCGTGCACGCCGATTTTTTTTTTTCTTTTTTTATGAAAATAATTCTATATAATTGTATATAATTATATATGGTATATAATTATGTATGAGTATATATAATTATATATAATCATTTTTAACCTGGGCAATTTTAAAATTTGACCAGATCTGGTCAGATCTGATTATATCTGGCCAGATCTAATCCGTTTTTCCCGGGAGGTTGTTTATTGTGAACTCAAGTACATTGAACCTTTGAAGTTAATAAGCTTAAGAGTTGAAGTCATAATCGATGTAAAGAGTATGTGTAAAGTTAAAGATCACCAGAAGTGTAACGATGAGAGATTGAGAGTCAACACATGCTCATCAGTTCTTGGTGATGATGTCATTGTACTCCATCAGCTAATTAATTCGGAAATTTATCGTTTCCCATGACGCATTGTTTATATGTTCCAGCCACGCATAACATATGTGATACCTACGGAACGTGGTATTTAAGGTCAAAGATGTTGGCAACGGGACGTCGTTATCATTATTATTTATGTACTTTACCAAGGACGAAATGTAACGACACATCGTCAATCTCTTAAGATTGAGAGTTAACATGCTAATCAGTCCTCGGTACTGATGTTATTGTATTTTATCAGCTACGATTTTAAGGGGTCGAGTCCAACTATTGGTCGATTTGACGTGGAATGACCCTATTGGGAAATTTATCGTTTTCCATGACGCATTGTTTGTGTGTTTCAGCCACGCATAACATGTGTGATACCTACTGAAAGTAGACATTTGATGTCAAAGTTAATATTGGCTACGTGACTTCATTATCATTGTTATTTATGTACGTTACCAAGAAACTGGTCACTTAAATAATTACGACCACGGTCATTATCTCATTAGTATTCATTCCAAAAATACACCGTTAGAATACCAGAGCTCATCGGGTATGCACGGCATGTAGACTATACATTAGGGTGTGCCAAAATTCAATTTCCATGAGGAACCTTTTAAAATTGGAATTTTGAGTTTCGCTTTTAACAGGAGCTGTGTTTGGGCATTTCTTGAGATATTTTGAAATTTCAGCGGAATTTCCCGGAAAGTAAAGCTCCTGTTAAAAAATTCTATGAAAACCAAATAAATCATTTTCCTCCAAAATATCTCAGAAAATGCCCAAACAGCTCCTGTTAAAAGCAGAACTCAAAATTCCAATTTTAAAAGGTTCCTCACGGAAATTGAATTTTGGCAAACCCTACTATACATACTGTGTAGTAATTTTTTTTTTTTTCGAATTTACGCAATTCTTTTATCGTAACGAATTGATGCGCATTCTATCAATAGTACATACTTTCTTCTTCTGCTAGAAACGTTTCGCAATCTCATTTAGTCGTTTCATGACTACATTCATCCAGATGATAGAATAAGATTCCTTTCTACGAGTTGATGAACGAGAGCTAGACTAAAAACTAAAAGGAAGGGACGGTACAGGAATTCACTCCACCCCTAAATCGTGACTCACAGAGTCATATTACATACCACCATTGCTTCTATCCCCACTCACTCCCGGAAAGAGCTTTCCAGATCCCGATCCACTCATGGCTTCCCTTCAGAAGCTTTCAATTGGTCCCTGGGTACACATACGTCACACAAGGAATCTTATATAAGCGTCTCATTGTCTTCGATAATCTCATTTCAGTTTTCGTGGGTCATAAAGTGAAGGTGAATAATGTGGCTTCCGAACGAAATCATTATGCTGTTGTTAAAAGCTCCGGTTATTTCATTCATTTTGGCAGTTGGAAGTGGATGTGAGTATTTATAGTATAAAATATAATTAACGTAGTGCTTTATAGTTTGGTAATGCCATGAATTCATTTTTCAATAATGTTCAGACATTATTTTCATTAATGTACAGAATGGCTTTATATGGATTGTGAAAATTATATTTACAAAATAAAATATGATTGAGATTCTTGATAATTTATAAATTTGATACTAAAATTTAACTAATTGTAAGTGATACTAAAATTTGCTGATACTATCTACACGGTATTTACGCTATTATTACTTTATGTTTCAGTGTCTTCAAATGGCGGTTCTAATATATTCGTGGATGCAAACCCCGCGCAGTATATAATTCTTGAAATAAATACGGATTCAAAGAAAGAAGTCTATCTGGTTCAATTTGCAGACCAACCTCAATCTCCGAAGTTTCTCTGATTATATCTGGCCAGATCTCGTCAGATAGAGACAATTTAAAGATCTGGCCAGATCTGTTTATATATGGCCAGATCTAATCCGTTTTTCCCGGGTGTAAACATGTAACCATGTAAACATGTAACCATGTACCTGAGATCATTATAAATGGCAATGTAATACCATATACAAATTCAACCAAACACCTAGGAGTCCATCTTTCAAATAATCTTTCTTGGGATACGCACATCTCACAGGTATCGCGCAAAGTTTATGGTTCACTAAATAGTTTAAAACATAGGGAGAATTTTCTGTCCACACAGACCCGCAAGTTATTAGTCTCTGCTACTATCCTTCCTATTATTGACTATTGCTCAGTAGTGTTTCTCAACTTATCGAATGAAGTTGATTGCAAATTTCAGCGACTTGTTAACAATGCTATTCGATTTATTTTTAATCTGAGGCGAGATGAACACATCACACCATATCGACGGTCATTAAATTAATTAAATGTAAAGTCACGAAGGCTATACTTTTTAGCCTGCGTGTTCTTTAAATTGTTATCAACAGGTAAACCAAAATTTCTACGTGATTTATTTATTGAAGAAGACCCTGTCATCAGACGATCGCAAAGAATAGCTAACAGAAATAATAATATCATTTTTAAAATACCCAATTTTGTTACCACAACCTACGAGCATTCGTTTGTTATATCAGCTATACGGTTTTGGCAAGATTTACCTCCTGAAATTTCTAATTCTCTTAGTTTAGAATCTTTCATGACAAGAGTATTCGATTTTCTTATAAATCTTGAATAATAATATAATAGTGAGCTGGTTAATATGATTAAAAACATTATGTCCACTTGAACATTATGTAAATTTTATGTTTTAAGCTATCATGTGAATTTCATATTTCCATTATGTATGTATTAGCTGTACTTATGTGAATTATAATTTTATATATATTATTCTTGCCATTCGGCTTTGTGTCTTGGCATTTAAATCTAATAAATAAATAAAATAAATAAATTTATTTTTTATCCATTGAAAATGAGAAAACTTCTCTTCAAGCATGCAATTTTTAAATTACATGACACGAACATCAATATAGAAGCGATACCATAAATAAATTATCTATACATTGTCACGGAATTATACAAGCTGGATATAAAATCTAATATTTCTGCGCCGTTGATTAGTAACGACCGTGACATCGAAGCAATTACCAATCCAGTGAAAGCGATAAAACAAAAAACGGATGATTTACAGAGAAATTAAAAATGAATTTTCATAAAATAAAGTCAGTGTGTTATCGGCTTTTTGCAATTAGTCAGTATTTATTTTTCAAAATAATCGGATTGTCGCCTTGGTCAATCGAAGCATCTGATATAATAACCAGAAACCGAAGAATTGAAAGTCACAGTTTTAAATGCAGTTTTTCATATGTTGGAATGGGTTATAACATTATTTTCATTTTAGTAACTTCCTCATTAAATATTTACGGTTTTTACTATACAGCATCGATCGAAAAAGTCCATAAAAGTTTTAATATATTTCAAAGAACGTTCGCGTTTTGTTCATCGTTTGGTATTATTTTTATTGTACTATTTATCACCATTCGACAGAAATTTTTTATAAATTTTATCAACCACCTACGAAATATTGATAAAAACTTAAGAACGTGCACCGATTATGACATAAAATACGATTGTACCAATGATTCAATCTTCGCTAGCAACCTTATCGTGACAAGTGCCTTAGCAATATTGAGACAACTTTTTACCAAAACAAAATTATTTCTCTTTATGAGTCTACCAAATTTTTTAACAACTTGGCCACTGATCCATTATACGATCTTAATAAATATTATAAAATTACGATTGATAAGTATCAATTCGATGCTTTCGAAACTTGGTACCACTAAAAGTAAAGTATCGCAATCGCGTGAGTTAATTTTGAAAGATCTTGATAGCATAAAACGCGCATACGCGGAAATTTGTAAAGGGTGTGATCAAATTGTAGCCCTTTATGGAATTCCTACCTTGATTATGATACTTATATATTTGACAAAAACTACTCACAGTATGTATTATATAGTGATAGAATTGATCTCCCCTCAGAAGATTGATTTGGCAGTATATGGAGCTGGAATTGTTTTGTTGTTTCCTATATATATCTTCGTATTATTAACTTCTTCTGTGGCTAAAGTCGTTAAAGAGGTTAGTAAATATGTTTTTATGTAGTTTTAAATATACACGGAGAGAAAAATATGGAAATCATTCCTATAATTTTAATGAAATGTTTTCCTATACCATTTTACGAACAATTCCTATAATATTATAGGAACCATTCCTATAATATTATGGGAACCATTCCCATAATATTATAGTGATGATGCCTAATAATATTGAAATATTTATCATTACAACTCAATAAGTTATTAGTGACTTCGATGACCACTTTGAAGCATTTGAAATTATTAGTAATTTCGATAATTTTACTTGCTTCCTAATAACATTATTTGAAATATGTAAAATAAGTAATATTGTTCATATAAATAATAAAAGTTACATACCCAAAAGGTGGATTTAATGAATATTCAACGTATGTATTGTAAATAAATAATGAGTTTTATAAATAAAATGAAATTGTAAAAATAAACAATAAATTTCCATATCTGCTTTGCTCCTCTAATTGTATAGTGAGAAAATATCCCTTTTATTAGAGAAACTTTAGAATTGCTACAATATTTTTCAATATTACCTAACACAATAATATCTGAGTTGGAATAAATAATTGAATATTAAGTACACACGTGAATAAAAATTATGAAAAAGAAATTTTTTCACTCCAGTGAAAGATCAATTTTTATTTACGAAAAAAAATTTATTAGCAAAAAAATATATAATAAATACTTTATATTTTTGATGTGATTGCTTCATTATTATGAACATAAACATTTTTCTGTTATTATGAGCATCATTCCCATAATATTATAGGAACCATTCCTATAATATATTGAAGCTATTCCATTATTGTATAGGAACGTTTCCAATAAACTATGGGTATGGTTCCCGTAATGAGCATAGGATTGATACCTATAATGATCATTTTATTATAGGAACCATTCCCATAATTTTTGGAAAGGTTTTTCTAGATTTCTCTTCATGTAGTTCTCAAAACTACGATTTTTGAAATTACTGGCATACCAAATCATCACAATTTTTCAGCACAACTTTAAATTATTTTCTAAGCCTCGCCATTTATTAAAATTTCAATTTCAAAAAAATCGATACATCAGTTTTTTTTTGTTATTTCTAAAATTACTTTTTTTTTTGGACGGTCACACTACTGATGGTCCTTGAATAAATAAAGAAAAATTATTGCAAATAAAATTAAATGTTTTCAGAATAAAGAAACCGTCAGGATTATCAACTCACTAAGAGATCGATTCGATATGGATGAAGAAATATTCGAAAAAGTAAGTGAATTATATCTTTGCATTATTTGTAAAAAACATATTAAATTAATTTTAATTATTTAAATTTGACTAATTATAGCTAATGAAGTTTTCTTCTCAGCTTTCGTACTTGACTGTTGAATTCACCTGCTGTGGAATCTTACCACTAGATCGCGATCTTTTGATGATTGTAAGTTTACTTTTATATAATGATACGAAAAATATCCGATATCATTTTAGTAATAAAATTTCAGATTTTGAGCACTATTGTCTCATATCTCGTTATTTCTGTTCAATTCTACATCGACTTATCTGCTAATTAATTGATAAACTATTATTTCAACATACATATCTGGTAATTTTTGGAGTTAATTATAAACAAGTTTGAATCGTTCCATTTTTGAGAAATGTGAAGAAGGAATTATAAGCGGGGAGACAGATGTTTATGTCCATAATGTTTATAAACTTAATTAGTTAACTAACAATCTTCTTCAATAAAAAGTACCGAAAGTTAATTTGTTTCATTAAATTCATTAAATCAAAGTTTGTCCCAGGCATTTTGAGATCAGTCCCCTGCTAGAAGTTCAAAGCCAAAAAAAAAAAAATCTAATGTTATTTTACCTTTTGTAAGGTTTATAAGGATCTAAATAGCCTTAAGTTAATAACCATAGGGCTGTTAGCGCTTTATCGGCATTTTATTTAGTGTCAAAGCACCGTTTGTGCGGGAAATATGTGTCTGGGCCACTTCAAAACTCAGTCTCCTGGCAGCTATTTTTGTTTATAATTTATTTATAAAATTGGATCCATATAAGTCTTAATATTATTCTAATTAATGTAAACATTCATTGAAAACATAAAAAGTTGAATGCATTGAAATAGTTTGCTTGATTTTTCTCAATTTGATAAAAAAAATCAGTCCCCTGCCATGTTATATGGCAAAAGATACACAAATATCGAAAAAGCAAAAATTAATTCGGCTATTTATTTATTATAATTAAGCTGATAGTTTTGTAGCCTTTGTTAATTTTTTTTCTAATAAAATCAAAAATAATTTGGTCGGACAATTTTGTACAGATTTAAGACGTCCTTACAGAGAATCACCCTTATATTACTTATGTGAAACAAAATTCTATGTATTTTTACTTCTTGCTATTTGGCTTTATGCCTTGGCATTTAAATTTCAATAAATAAATAAATAAATAAAATTTTATTTAATAATGAATTATTTTATCCATTTTATATTGTCAATACTGTAAGCACTGAAAAAAAAGTTTTCTGCTCCGCACGATACGAGATCGCTACTATCACGATCTACACTTTACCATCTAGAGGAGAGTGAGGTTAGGAAAACGGTATACTACGGCAGCTATACGTTTCGTGAATGGCACCGAATAGATCGTGACGGTTACGATTCAGACTGCTACTCGTAGCTGTACGAATTGTACCCGTAACGATACACCTTTTACCATACAGTAGATGGCGCCAAGTAGAAAACTTTTTTTTCAATGAGGGTATAAAATTATAAATGAATTTTAACCATAATTGTTAATCATAACAGGAACGTTATCGGCGTGCTATTTTGGATTTTCCATATTTGTTGTTAATTTTTTGCAGTATAGTGAATGAAAATAATACTGAGATACAAGTTAAAGTTCCATAAAAGAAGTTTAAGTTCTAAGAATTTTTTAAATAATTTAAATTCCAGAATGTTTTTCATCCAAATAAAAAATTACGTCAAAACTCTCTTAATTAATATTTATTTCAGTAATATAATAGAGTGAAAATAAATAATCCCCAGACAATATAATAACTAAATATATTCGATAATATTATACGGGTATATCATCATCGCTTATCATAGATCTTAATTTCTATTGAATTGAATTCAAATCTCTGGTGGACCGCCACCTGGTGATATGCGGGCTTAATATTATTCATCAACGTGAGAAAATAAAGTCACCTCTTTACTCTAATACTAAAATAAATATTCAAATAAAAATCGATCAATTACAATTTTTTTGTGCTGAAAAAAAGAATATTTTTTTTTAACGATAATGTTCTGCTTTTTTTATTCTTTTGAACATAAATGAGCGGAACTGAGAACTGCAGTTATAAAAAAGTACAGCGAATCGATAAAAAAATCGGGATGATGATGATGATGATGATGATGATGATGATCGTACATGACGCGTGCCAATACAATCGACCCTTTACAATGAAAATCACGACTAACTCAGTCCCACGACATATAATGATACAAAGACACGTGTTTCATTGAACAGAACCTGCACTGGTACTGACAACCCGTGTGATTTTTCTCAGTCGCTTTTATGTAATACCACTACAGATTCGTACCACTTTTTATCATAAATACATAAATATTACAACTTTTAAATAATTCATTTTACAGAAGAATACTCACGATTAATCAAAGTGATTTATTAATTTAAATAAATAATTCATTTATAACATTCGGGTTTTGCTGAAAGGATTCTATTCTCTAGATCAAAAGATACATATAATCATTTTAAAACTGATAAGATTTTTTTTTTACATAAATCGATCTCTGCACTACAAGTGCAAGTTTTAGTAAAACAAATTATTTCTTAAGCCATAGTATCATAGTTGATATTTATGGTATCAAAAGCCATATAGTTCGGGGAGAGTTCTGAACTTCAAATCAAATCATCCTCTGAGCCAGAAGCTAGGTGTAGCACAAGGTTTCTTTAACAGAGCCATACGTCTAAGTCATGTGAATATGGTGGCTGGAAGTACTGGCAAAGTGAAACACTTGCTCATGAACAACAACTATCCGTCATCTCTTCTCAGGAAGTGTGAGAAAATTACTAATGATAGAATTAATAGTAATTTGAGGATTGAGGCTGGTTTGAGAGGGTGGTCGTTCTGTAAGTTTCCCTATATTAAAGGTTTGTCACCCAGGATTGGATGCTTGTTCAGGCAGACTAATTGTAAATTAGTCTTTTACAATTTGTGTAAAATCAAAGATCTTTATAGTCATCTAAAAGATCCAGTTGATAAGTGGGATAGATCTTGCTTGGTGTATCGGATATCCCTTGCACTTGTGGCAAATCATATATAGGACAAACGAAGCAGAAACTTAAGAAGCGGATTAATCAACACATCAACGATTGCAGACCTGTCAACATTAACAAGAGTAACATGACGGCATTGGCGGATCATCACTTTGAGAGCGGGCATGACTTTCAGTTTGACGCTGCTCATATTTTAGACTATGAATCTCATTTTCTAAAACGTAACATCAGTGAGATGTTTTTCATTAAAGTGTTTGATTGCGTCAACTTTAGGTCTGATACTCAGGGGTTAAGTTCATTATACAATGACATCATATCAGTGGCTAAAAGATTCATGCAATAATAATTTTTTTTTTTCTCTTGGAAAATATTTTTCTTTGAAAGGTGATTTTGTAAAAAATGAAATAGTAAGAATTTTTTATAGGGATTACTTTAAGATAATTTTTATTTATTTATTTGACTGAGATTATTTGTATTAATTAATATTTTAAATCACAATCATTTCAAAATTGAGAGTCGACATAGTAGATTGGAGAAGCACAACTGTTTTTACCATTGCAGTTGTTTACACTCAGTCTGTTGCTGTCTGTCTTGAATGTAATTATTGTAATTTTATAACTTATTATTGTTGACTAATTTGTTTAAATGGAATGGAAATTGACTAAGTTTTCTTAATATTATGGTTACCACTTGTTCAACTTTATTTATATATTGTAAAACGATGAAATTTTTCGGAGTTTATTTTGAGATACAACAGTGTTAACCTTAAATGTAAGATTTTTTAATATTTATCTTTTTGTTATCCTTGTCATATTGTTATTAACAATGTGTTTTTTTTTGTACAGTTTGCCTGATGAAGTTGTGAAATATAACGAAACGTTGCAACATTTAAAAAATTTGACCCTGAGTTATTTATAATTTTTATAGTCCAAGTTCCTGATAATTTTCATTATTGTTTATAAATCATGGATGATAATCGTAGTCATAGTTGATATTTATTGTGTAAAAATCATTTTGATAACGAATTATATTGATTACATAAGTATGTTTCAGAATAATAAGTCCACTCTTATCTATTTTCGCCGAATACTTGACAATCTTTTAGTCAAGATAATGTTTCGATAAGGTACAGATACAATCAATAATTTTGGGTCCATGAATTGCGATTACTGATGAATTTCTATTTTATATTTAGATATCAAATTTTCAATGTCGCAATGAAACTACTTTAAATGTAAGAATTTCTTTAGATATTTTTTTCACATGAATTGGCTGTGTCAAGAATATGTGTCTTCAAAACTAGAGGTTGAAGGGTTGAATCCATCATCTGGTAGAAAATTAAAGTTTCTTACTTTACCAACAGCGATGCAAAAACTAAACTCATAAAAAGATTTTCTAAAAATGACATCATACGGGATGAAAAGAAAATATGTTGTAGGGGCATTCCATGCGAAATGGGAAAATTACTAAAATTGAAAAATTTCTCTAATTCATTCTAATTTAGTCCTAATTTATTATTAAAAGTTGATATTTTACTAATTTATAAAGAAAACTTTTTTTTAATCAATAAGAAAATCGATTTTTTTTTTCTACTAACTTTTCAGCCGTATTAACTTGTATCCGGGTCAAATGTTGTTTTAATGATCGTTTTGTCAGCATGCTAAATCCTTTATTTGTGTTTTTTAATTATCCTAAATAATTTATAGTAAAATAAATTTGAATAAGAAAATCTCAGATTTTCAAAAATCAGGAAGTTATTGGTTTTACCCCATTTTACAAAAATCGAGTTTTCATCAGATTTCGACGTTTGAGGGTCACAGGAAGCTTCCCTGTATGTTTTCGCGATGATGTCCGTGTGTCTGTATGAAACGGCTGCACTGATCGATTTCAAAAACTAATCAGCTATTAGCATGAAAAAATTACGTCGATCGCCGTCATGCCGGTCAAAATTGGTCAATACGTTCAAGAAATATCATGAACGAAAGAAAACCAAAAAAAGTGTTTTTTTGGAATTACTCCAAATTTCCTAGTTTTATCTTCTTGAAGATTCTTCTTAAGATTCTTCATGAAACTAAAAAAATTGCGTCAAATACTGCCAACCACGCGAAAATCGGTTGATTCATTAAAAAGTTAGTGCGGTTTGAAAATTTAAAAAATATTGCTCGAAGAGCTCAAAAACATCATTAGTGCGGTTTTATGCACCTAGGTATGGAATTAGCGGGAAGTTGCACGTATGACCTTCAGGGTCTATCGTTTTTCTAATTTTTTTTTTTTTAATCAACTACGCAACTAATTTTTTCTTATAAAATGAATGAGCATTATTCACTTTTAGATTTTCCAAACTTTTTTAAAATTCATCTGAAAATATTCAACAATTACTAAACGAAACTGAATATCCAGTTGACTGATACGTTAAAAAAAGGGGCACCCTACCCTCATGGACTATAAAAAGATAATTCGCACATCCGTCATGCATCTAAATTATAATGAGCAGCTCGAGAATGAATCGCTGTTAATTTACTAGATATGGAGGGTTGATGACTGGTTTATAATAAAAGTTATAATAAGAATCCTACCGTGAAGATAGCAAGTACACTGGTGAATTGGTTAAGCGAAGGGTGGCGAAGAACAACGAGCTTCCGATTGAGACGAGTGGCCGACTCGTGTCTGATGTCGCGCAAGAATCATTTTATCTGACTTCATTTATCATCCTCTTCTTCTTTTCCAGTCCGATTTGTGCTATTCTCAATGTGTTCTATGTTCATAGGCGAAACTGTGACTCATCGACCCGGATATGGTCGTCATGAAAAGAATTTCTACGCCATTTACTAAACGTAAAACGAGGGCTATCAAACAAATAATACGAAAAACTAATACAGTTCTAGAGTAAAATTCTTACAAGGTTCGCATCAGTAATTAATGACTCTAGTACCATCAATATTTACTGAGTCATCAATAAATACATATTATCTTATTTTCATCTATATTTTTATAAGGTCCTGCAAAATTCAAGATATAATAATCAAAATATTTCATTATTTTCTTTAATGATTAAATTTAGCGAAAAAAACAAATTTGATAAATGAAAAATCTCTATAAAAATAGAGAAAAGAAGTTTGGAAAATCCTAAAGTGTACACCTCATGTCATTAATTCATTTTTTAAGAAAAAAATAAATTGTATGATTTAAAAAACAACAAAGAAATTAAGAAATTTATTAAAGAGTATTGTCCAATTTTTTTTTTTTTTTCAATTATGGGCACCCATTTTTCTAATAGTATGACTGCTTGATCTCATTTTAACTGAATTAAGTAGCATTATAGTTTTCAGGTGAGAGAAATGAGAAAAGTTCTTTTGTTTTTGTACGTTTATATCATCGTGAATTTTCATAAAAATTAATTTTAAAAATTTACGTAAACGAGACAGTATGAAAAACTACCAGTTCATTTAATTCTGAAACTAATAAGAAAACTTCGGTCTCGATACATCAATTTTCTTCGGGAGTTATCGTGAGTACATATACTTAAAATAAGCGTACTGACATCAGGACGTTCACGTAAAATTTTCTTTAAAAAAAATTTTTTTTTCAAAGTAGAAACACAAAATGATTTTTAAAAAAACTACAAGATGGATTACTTAGAGTGTTTTCTCGATGTACGTCTACTGATATTATTGTATTAGTGCAATATGGTTGTGATAATGGTAGTTAAAAATCACAAAATTGCTTGACCTTGACGTATTGGGAGTAAAGTAATTATTTAACTGCTTCACGATATGAGGTGTGCAAAATCGCATTTGCTTAAAAGCGTCGGTACGCTTAGAAACGTCTGAAATATAATATTTTCACTACGGCGCCATTTTGTAACAAAAATTTTTTTTTTATACTCAGAGTTTCAAAAAAGATAATGATGATATAATTATTATATCGCTCATAAAAAATAAAAAATGACTCATTATAATTTTTGGTTTTTTTTATGGGAACTGTTGGGTATAATAATTTCATACATATCCTGACTCATTTTTAGGCCATTAAAAATCATCGGGAGCAATATTTTCTCAGTATGGACGGTTTAGTACAAATCAATAAAGTACATAGCTCATTGTTAGAAATAATAAAGTCTATTGGGACGATACATTATGTAAGGCTTATTCTCAATGGGATTGAATAATTGTTGTGATACATATGTTTCACGTACTCTCATGGTTGATGGTTGATGCTATATAGATATAACACATAAAGAGACAATATAATGACGAGCAAGATTCACGAGCAAGTCACGTGTGGGAAAGATATACAAACTAGTGGTTTTACTGTCAAATGTTATTAGATCAAAAGGCTCAATAAAAAAGGGTGGCATACATACTTATCAAGTTACTCCGAGGGTTGCTGTTTATTATTATCACTATCATTTTAATCGTATTATATGATACCAAGCATTTTTTTTAAGATATTAGAATTAATACTTTATAGAAAAAAATAAATTGTCTTCTAGAATTATTGTAAAAATACTAAGTACAATTTTATTAATAATTATCCACAAATACAATTTAAAAATATATAGAAAAGTACCATTCATATTTTTGTAATGTACCAATAAAAAATATTAAATGTAAAAAATTAACAAGATAAATAATTATTTTTGACTATTATTTTAATATTGAAAATTACAATAAAATAAAATTAATAATTAAAAATTTAATCTTTTTAAACAAAAGTCTAGTTTTTCCAAAATATAAAACGTAAAATTAATAGCAATATTATTCTATGGATAACATTATGTTTATTAATTAAAATTTTTCTCTCCTTCACGGGAGGGTCCGGTAAATTTTACTGGCATAAACTTTAGAAAGTATTGTTGTTACTTATAAATGGTAAAGTAGCATTCTTGCCTCTGCGGTTAATTTTATCATAAATTTAATAGTAACTTTTAAAGAAAATTTCTTGCCATGTAAAATATTAAGAGTTTTATTTTGAGAATAATTAACTCAATGTAACGAATTTTTTTATAAAAAATTCATGACAGTTCGTAAAAAAATATGAGATTTATAATGTACCATTAATGAAATATTTTTTTAGGCCACCTGTAGTTTTTATTGTGTACATTAGTTTCTAGGCGTATGAACTTATTCAAGTGAGAATTTGTATATACATTTATACTTAGCATGTGACGGCGAAAAAATAACGAGCGTGTCAATAGAATAATAAAAAAGAATTGAATCGAGAGCAAATAATAGCCGAGTTACTTTTTAAACTTTTAACTATGACATTCAAAATGTTTCGTTATGATTAGTGTAGCTTAAATACATAACATCAGCGTGTAAATAATTTGAAAGTATGATCTAT